GCGCGAGGATTTCTTTTGACATTTATTGGAAAGGAGGAAGTAAATTGCTCCCTTCGTGCATACAGACATTCTTTTGCTAGAATAACCCCCCAGGAGGAAGGCAGACCGTCAGTGGTCGTACCGAGTCGCCACGAATTTGCCAGAGGCGTGCCTGTGCACGCCCTCGTAGCCGGTGCTGCTGCTGCTGGAGAGGTGCAAGCGCACGCCCTCAAACTCTGACGCCGCCGGTGGCTCGCCGACCGCCCTCGCGTAAGCCGCAGCTGCCTCCACCGCTGTGCCGAAGGAGCCAAGAAAGAGCCGCGGGCTCTGCGCGGCGAGAGGGCCAGAGGGCGAGAGGGCGAAGCGGCCAGAGGGCAGCTTGTAAACACTCTGGTAGCCGGTGCTGCTGCTGCTAGAGAGGTGCAAGCGCAAGCCCTCCGCCTCCCTCTGCAAGGGCGGCGCTGCTGGCTCGGCTGCCTCCTCCTCCTGCTCAGCCATTCCCTCCGCACCAGCCATGCCGCCGCCAGCCGCCTCCCCGCCGCCGCCGCCGCCGCCTGAAGCCTCATCCCCAGCACAGCAGAGGGCTGCCGCCGCCCGCTGCTCCACCTCTCCTGCTGCCGCTGCAGCCGTCGCCGCAGCCGCCTCGGCCTCCGCCTCCGCCTTTCGCGCCGCCTCCGCCTCCGCCTCCGCCTCCGCCTCCGCCTCCGCCGCCTCCGCTGCCTCCGCCTCCGCCGCCGCCTCCGCCGCCTCCTCTGCCGCCGCCGCCGCCTCCGCCTCCTCCTCTGCCGCCGCCGCCGCCGCCTCCTCCACCGCCGCCTCCGCCGCCGCCTTCGCCGCCGCCTCCTCATCCATCTGAGCCATTTGGCTTTTTGACGCTCTTCACAGACCTTGTTATTGAGAAGAAAATACGTCCTATGGCGCTTTGCGCTGGTCTATGAGAGGTTGAGGTGCGAGCCCTGGAGGCCCTGGGGATGGGGGGAGACTACCCGCGGGCCTAGAAGGCCCGCGCGCAGGGGGGTGGGGCATTGAGATTGAAGGAAAAGTTTCACACACAGCGACGATTGCGACGGCCCGCACGACTATCCAAAGATGCACTTCAACGCGGGCATGGCTGCGCGCGACCAAAAGCTGTACGAGGAGGCTCGGCGATATTTCGATGCGGCCGCTACCCGGGGGAAGGGCCACCCGGACGCCATGCTCGAGGGAGCGACCCTCAAGTACCGCGGCCTGGGCGGGCCGCAGGACCGGCCGGGCGCAGCCGCCGACGTCCGCCGCGCCAAAGGTTCGACGGCGAAGTACCCGAGGGGCACGGGAACGGAGTACCCCAACCCGTACCGCGTGCAGCAAGGCGACACGCTGCTGCGGGCAATGGCACGCGGCGCGGAGGTCTGCTTCCCTGACACGTGGTAGTGGTGCAGAGAGAGAGGCGTGAAACCGGTGCCGCGGTGCGGTTTGAATGATTGTTGCACGTGGTCCCGAACCGCGAAGGGCGATCGCGTTTCTGTTATGTCATCCCGTGCCTTGTGGTTGTCATTTTAGATGACTCTAAAATTCTTTTTTCTTCCTAGGCACAAAATTATTTATTATTGTA